TATGGTAGTCGGTGGTCATGGCGGAGACGACGGAGCTAGTGGTAGTAGTGGTGGTAACAGAGCGCAGGCGGATCGATGGCTTGTAACATCAGAGAAGCTTTTAGCGTCTAGTGACCTTCAAGGTGCGAGAACTTTTGCGATCCGAGCATGCGGAACCGACCCGACCCGAGCAGAAGCGGCGGACTATATCCTCGCAATCTGCGACATTCTTCTAGCCGGAGAGACTCGTCTAGGTGATTCAAACTTGCCGGATTGGTACGCCGTGTTACGACTCGGTCGATTAGCTCAAAACCCTGAACACGTCGCGACTCAGTACCGTAGACTCGCTCTTCTTCTCAATCCTTCGGTTAATCGACTCCCTTTCGCCGATCAAGCATTTAAGATCGTCTCTGATGCTTGGTACGTGCTCTCTGATCCCTCGAGGAAGTCATTGTACGACCGAGAGTTGCAACTGAGTCAACTCGGCCAATCTGGTTTCCAGCCCCAAAACCAAACTCAGCAACAATTCCAGTGGAAACCTAGCCAAGGCACCAACGTAGCACAAGAGCCGCCTTCTGTTGCTCGGCCAGCTACGTCCACCGCCGGATATCCTTCGCCGTTTCAGAGCCATGCTAAGATCCAGACCGATCCTACGGCGACGAGCTTCTGGACCGCTTGTCCTTACTGCTTTGTTCTCTTTGAGTACCCAAAGGCTTATGAGGAATGCACTTTAAGGTGTCAAGATTGTAGAAGAGCATTTCAAGCTGTGACGATACAGAAACCTCCAGTGGAAGGGAAAGGAGAAGATGTTTACTTTTGCTCATGGGCTGTATTTCCACTAGGGTTTTCCGGTGAGTTTAAAACCCCAAGTTGGTCACCTATTTCACCTCTCTTTGCCTGTCCTCTGCAAATGGTGGATGCTGAGCCGAACATGAAGAAGAGAAAGGAACCGGCGGCTCCGAGAATTTATTATGACGATGATGACATATATGTTGCGATTTCGGATGAGGATTGTGAAGAAGATGATGATTGGCAAGAGGGGGTACAAGTTAATAAGAAGGTGAATGTTGGGAAAGGAAAAGAAACGATTGTGAGAAGTAACAAGAAACATGGAGCTGAGAAAGCTGGGAAAGGAATCCAAAATGTAGAAAATATTAGTAGTGCTAGCAATCCCGCGGTTTCGATTGCTTCAGATGCTGCAGCAGTTGGTTCTTCATCTGGGGCTATGTCTAAAACAGTGAGTTATAGTACTAGAAAAAGAACGGGAACTGGAGCTAAGAACCTGGGGAGGTTGGATTTGAATGTGGAGTTCAGTAATGAAGTGGAAGAGAATGCTGCGGCAGGCGGGAGAAATGAAGGCAACGGGCTCGGAAGTAACAGGGAAGTGGATAATATGGAAGGGATTGGGTTCTTTGAGGGACTTGATGAATTCTTGAGTAGTTTGCCGATACTTTCTGTTGTTGGAGATGATAAAATCAAGGCTACTTAGTAAAGTAAGGCATTTTCCTCTCTTGTTTTAGGTTGCGTATTCTGTTCTCGTGGTTGTTGTAGGCCTTAGCTTTTGTTTCATATTTATGTTAACTGTAGTGGAGGTACTTGCAGTTTGATTCCATGGAATCCATGTAGTTGGAATCTGTTGATGTATTTGTTGCAAATTCAGACCTTTTCTTCACTTTTATGGTATATAATCTCCTGCATCGTAATTTCGTAACCAGGAACATGCTTTACAGGATATAAGATGATTAGCCAAGTGCATTTTTATTGTCAAAAAAGAGTTACTTATTCTAGTCGTAGTCATATGTGTGATTGTTGCCCAAGAATATTGCTCCTCCAACGCAAAAAAGGCTATAGTGCAAAATATAGGTATTTCTCGAGGTGGGGAAGTAGCATGATTGATCATTTCTGTCTTTACGCCTTACGGTTGCTGGTTGGTTCTGTTTCTGTTCATTCACTGGGGAGATTTTGTCACCTTTGCTTTCTGAACCGATTCACGAAGAGTAACAGGGACAGCGTGTATTGCTTGCTTCATCTCATCCGAAGCCTTTGTAATCGTCGATGCTTTGTAAGGTAAGGAAAGCAAGTAAGGTAAAGACCTAAACAAGCTTCTTTGTAGGCATTGCAGCTAGATATTCTTACAAGTGCTAAACGTTCTCGCTTATCTGTAAGCGAGAGTCTGCAGAATCAAGAAGATACAGAATGGTTCAATCTCTTGGAGGTTTAATCCTTGTTAGCCCCCACCTTTACCGGTTTTATTTAGACCCTTAAATTTTTTGTATATGTATCAACCATGAAAGAAACCCTACGGATCCAGGACTTGTGTCTGTTAATTTATTTAGGTTATGGCGATGCGGAAAAACTACTCAGCGGCGCCTGAGTTTGCCACATCAAAAACAGTGGTTTTGTGGGACATGAGCGACTGTCCGGTTCCTGATGATTATGATGCTCATCGGGTCCGTCCCAGTATAGAAGGGGCACTGAAGAAATTAGGCTACTCTGGTCCTGTCAGCATTACTGCCTATGGCGATCTCAAACATACCCCTGAGCACGTCCTGCGACGGCTCTCTTCCACTGGAGTCGATCTTCAACACATCATTGAAGGTTAATCCTTGTTGGATTTTTTTTTTTTTTTAAATAGGGTTTAAAATATTCCTACTGCTAGTGAACTGCTTTCCTTTACTGAAACAGGTAAAAGGTGCATACTCATGAATACGGATCTATGGAAGGTTACTCGTCCGGCTACAATAATGCTTATATCCGATCACGTGGGATCTATGTTCGTGTACGGTTTTTGCAAGCTACAACAACGGAAGGATAGATTCAATATTGTTCTGCCATATACAGATGCTTCTACAAAAGCTTCATTCCTGTTCACTACTGCAGAGTGGCTCTGGGAAAACCTACTGACAGGTGTTTGTCCTCTCATAACCACCAAACTAAGCTCTGTTTATTTGCTAATTAGCTTTCTTCCACAGATTCAGGGACACCAAGACGGGTTCTTGGCAAATGCAGTGAAACGATGGAATCTGCCATGCTTCAATGCAGATCGTGCGGTTTTGTTGGCCAAAGCCCTTGAAAATTTTACCAAGCATCATCTCTGGAGTGAAGAACATGCACAGAGAGTAAGTTAGCATCCTCTCTGCTTGTATCCGTTACATTTTTCATTTTTGTAAATTATTTACGTCGTGGCTATCGACGGTACACGAGATAGAGAAATATTGTTCCACAAGTGATCGGTCCTGGTAGAATCTCAAGCCTGCAAGAAAGAGAGGAGAAATCATGTTTATTTTGTTTTTACACTGTGAAAGGAAATTGTATATTTCTGAAAACAAAACCGAATATGAAGTTATAATGGGCCTAAATTTATCAAATTGGGCTTTTGAGAATTTTAAGGCCGAGATAATGGTATAGATCCAATCAAAACATTTGTATAAAACAAAGACTAAGAAAGAAAAAATGCATAAGCGTCTCGAGATTCTTATTAGCTAAGCGAAACAGTGA